GGTTTTGGAGTTCGTATAACTGCTCAAGTTGCTGAGGCTCTGAGGCAAGCTACCTAATTTTCCATATTTTGAAAACAGATAATCCAACCTACAGCAAAAGGCTGTGGTGGGGATGCAAGACTGAATGCACACACAGAATCCAGCACAGAGGTCGTGAGAGATGCATGATCAAGAAAGTTAGCTTATTTCTCAGAGGGTTGTTGGAGAGGTTAAATAAGGTCATAAATATAATAGAGCTCACATAGTTAGTGATTACTGTTCAACTCTTCCCACCTGGGGGTTTTTCCACTGTAGTGAATATTTGGCCATTGTTTTCTTTATCTGGTCAGGACAGTCATCCAAACTAGATGACTCAATCCAACCTCCACTTGGGGCCTTGTGTTTGATGATCTCATTGCTGCTGAGATCCCAGACATGGAAATGTACACTGGGGCCACTAGAGGACGGTTTGCAATACCAACCACAAGTCTTTAAAATGTTATATCCATTGATCCAAAACTCCTAGTCATGGGAATTCACCCTTGGGAAATAATCAGAATTTTAAATAAAGATTTGTGATAAGATGTTTAGTCAATGGCAATGCATGACTGTAACAAAAATGGGAACGATCTAAATGTATGACAATAGAAGGATGGTTAAATAAATAACTATCTTGCCCTGGATGGGTGGCTCAGTTGGTTGGAGCATCATCCTGTACACCAGAAGTCTACAGGTTTGATTTCCGGTCAGGGCGCACACCTGGGTTGCAGGTCCCGGCTGGGGTGTGTAGAGGAGATAATCAGTCGACATTTCCCTCTCACAGCGATGGTTCTCTCTCTCCTTCTCTCTGCCCCTTCCTTTCTCTTTGAAATCAGTAAGTATATCCTTGGATGAGGATTAAAAATGAAATACAATTAAAAAATAAATAACAGTCTTTTTTTGATGCAATACTACACAGCTATGCAAGTTGAACTTTGAAGAAGATTTAATGACATGGGGAAAATAATCACATCAGAATATTAAATTTAAAAAGTAGGATAACAACTTGTATATACTGTACAATGAATATAATTTTGCAAAATATGCAAAGTACCAGATAAATCAATGAAGAAACTGGCTCCTGCCTAAATTACCAAATGCATAAGAAAAAATACTAGAAAATATTGAATAAAGTTATCTGTTTATGTTGCCCTTTAAAACATCTTACAATTCTGATCAATTAGGCTTACACTCTGTGTAGATAAAGTATGTATTTGTATTAATGAGTAACAAAAATAAGAGAGAAAAATTACTAGAAAAATCACCTCAATCTGGTAACAGTGGCATCCCTAGGTACTGATTGGGTTTAAGGTGATTTTTCCTCTCCTTTGTGCTTTTCTATATTTTCTAAATTTTTTTCAATGAACACATGTCATAATCAGGAAAAAATTTGAGTGTGTGTATACACACACACACACACCAGGACAAGTATATGTGTAATTTTTTTATTTTTATTTTTCAATTAGTTGTATTAGATTCACATATACAGCATAGTGATTAAACAATCATACTTACAAAGCTTTCTCCCTGATATGCCCGCCTGGCATCATACATAGATATTATTGGGTTGGCAAAAAAAAAAATATGTTTAGTTTTTTCCATAAAATAAAGGACACATTTTTCATTTTCACCAATAACTTTTTTGATTTGGATATTTTGAGTGTGTTGGTATCCTGCTATTGGCTTCTAGTGAGTAGAGACCAGTGGTGCTGCTAAACATCTTCTGATGCATAAGACAGCCCCACAGCAAAGAATTATTTGGCAAAAATGTGAATAGTACCAAGAAACTTCTCAAACCACTTTTAACATGTTTGAGCAGTCACAGCACCTTCTCTATATACTGCACAAACCATTTCTTGTGTTTTCATTGTGTTTTTACCTTTCTTGAAATAGTAAAGCACAATACTTTGAAAATGTTGTGTATCTTCTTCCATTTCAATATTAAAATGGGTGCACAAAAATTCACCAATTTTGATAAGTTTTTAAAAAATGCACACTGATATGCACAGCTATCACAATACAATCTAACAAAATCGTTTTGCATGAAGTTAAAGATGACTAAGCACTACCATAGCCATCATGTGAAACAAACTAGATGAACTTTTTGGCTAACCCAATGCAATATTATTGACTATATTCCCTATGATGTACTTTTACATCCCTATGACTATTCTGCAACTACCAATTTGCACTTCTTAATCCCTTCATCTTTTAGACCCAGTTCCCCAACACCTCCCCTCTGGATAGAACAGATTTATATTAAAACAGAAGGAAAACTATTCCCTTTGTCCACATCTTAGTAATTTTCTCAGCACAGTCCTCTCCAGATACCCTTCACAACCTAGTTCCCTGTGTATACGATATGGGTAGAGTGTCTGTAGCTCATTGAGGAGGGGGCACCCCCTCTTCTTGCCATTCACTAGGATTCCTTCCTGTTCACTCTGCACAGCCTTCAGTGATGTGGTGACTCATTACACCTACAGTCTCTGCCCGCCCCCAAAACATAATAAATGTGACCATCACTTCCACACTAAATGCTTCCTTCTTGATGGAGGCTCAGAAAGCCCCCAAGAAAGTTAGGTTCCAGGGGGAAATCATGAACAACAGAGCAGAGAGTAGCAGAAAGCACCTGACTATAGATAGCCCAGCCTCTAACTAGAGAGCGGAGGGGAGGACTAAGCAAGGAACTTGCCCCAGGCAAAGAGGGAGAGTTCAGAGATTTGATGTTCTTTACAGGAGTAATAATAATAAACACAACTGTGTTAATACAAACAGCCATAAAAACAATAAGATATGTTATTTTAGGTGCCAACAGTGTGCAGAATTAAGCCCTCTCAAAGTAAGCTGTGATCTGCATTCTGTCTAAACTGTATGGTGAAGATGAGCAGCCACACATGTAGCCCGGGATGGAAAGAACTGCAAAGCCATGGGCCTTTCTCCCGGCTAAACAGCGCCGGTAAGGACTGCACTGGTCTTTGCTTTCTGGTGTGCTCTGACTGACTCCTTGACTCAGAGCCCAGGGTGAGACCCAAAAGTCAGAATGGAGGCAATGGAGAGTCTTGGGAGAAAGTCCAAGGAAGAGGACAGTGTGAAGTGGTAAGGACATCTTTGACATGTTGAGTAATGAATAGTGTATGTAGGAATATTGAAGAATCAATGTGAGAACTTCACACATTGTGTTCTCATGGGAATCCCACCTTGCCAGTGGGAGTGGTACTTGGAGCTGTCTTTGAAAACCAGACAGCGAATCCCCTTTGTGGAGCTCTGAGGCAAGGGGGTGTTTTTGCCACAGTGGAAGGCTGGCTGACCCAGTCCCTTGGGGAGTGAAGAGTTCTGTGCCCAGGGTGGACCCCAGGCCTAGCAGCTTGGATTGTGCCTCAGAAAGAGGACAATAAGAAGGTAGAACTGAATGGGGAGAAAAATAGGTCTTGGAGAATGTGGAAGGGAGAATGTTGAAGATGAAAAGAGAAGGAAAGTGGGTACGGAAGAAATTAGAGAAGAAAGGATAGGAAAGAATACAAGGGTATAGTTCAAAGAGGGAGTTCAAAATCCCTTTCAACTTGTGGAAAATGGATCATCCCCTTTATCCATTTACTACAGGGACAGGCCTAAAAATCCAGGCACCTGGGTGGAAAGTAAATCGATGAACAAACTGGCTCCTTCCTGAGTTACCAAATAAGTGAGGGGAAAAAATGGTACACCATATCAAATAAAGTATATTTATGTTGCCCCTTTAAACATCTTTTGATTCAGATTTGATTAAAATTATACGTTCAGCATGAAGTATGTATTTTTACTAATGGGAAAATAAAGAAAGCAATATTGAGGCCCAGAGAGGTTAAGTGACTTTCTCAGTCACACAGCGGCTTCTTGACTCCCAGCGCAGCCATCCTGCCACAGAAGGGAGGCAGCACCACCGTTCACCCCGCTCTTGCCACACACTCGAGGTTCACTCTGAGCAAATACTTAATCTGGGTCTTGGTTTCCTCACAATCTATGTTTCGTTCCTAAAGAATAAGAAGGGGACCCAATATGCCACCCACTCAGCATACGTTTGACTTCTCAGTACCCCGGAAAAGTGGTTTTTAAAATGTGGCCCTGGAGCGGCAGCAGCAGCAGCACCTGGGAAGTTACTAGACATGAGAATTTCCCGGGCCTACCTCAGCCCCCACTGAACCACAAACTCTGGGGGTGGGGCCCAGCAATCTGTGTTTTAATAACTCTGCATGGGGTTCTGCTGCAGCTCAAGTCTGAGAACCGCTGTTCTGCATGCGTTCTGCCCGCACGTGCACACAAGGAGGTAACTAACTTTTCTCCGGGGCCACTACCCCTCTTTCGCCCTCCCCCCTCCCCCCTTTCCTGGCTCCGTGGGCCCGGGGTGATGAATGGAGGTCAGGGCAGGGCGCTGTCACAGAGGACGCGGCAAACCCTCCTCCCTCCCCAGCCCGTCGGGCGGGTTGGGTCGGGGGAGGTGGACTTGAGGCTTCCCCAAGGCTGGTTTCCTTATCATTTTCTCGATAGCCGCTACCCGACTTTTTTGAAGGGGGCGAGTTTAATAACAAATTTGGTTTCACTGACTTTATGCAATAGTTTATTTGCAGAATGAAGGTGACTACTGAGAGGAGGGTGTCAGAAAAAGGCTTGGGGAGAAGAGAGCGGGCGAGAGGAGCAAGGGTCCGAGGTGAAGCCGAAGGGAAAGCGGGGGCGCAGGGGAAGCCCGCGGGTAGGGGAGGAAGGCAGAGGAGATCCCATTTGTATAGGAAAGAGGGAGAAGTTGGAGGCGGGGGGAAGCGCAAGCCTAAGGCGCAACAGAAAGAAAATAGGTGTTAGGAGAAAAACTGAGTTTGAGAGACTTTTTTTCCAGCTTCCTTTCCAAGACTTTTTCTTAGCTCCGTTTTGCTCCTCCCCCTCCTCCCCGCCTCCTCTGGCCCCCTCTTCCTCCGCCTCGCGCGGTAATGGGAGGTTCCTAGGCAGGAGAAGCAAAAGGAGGAATTGTTTGCGAGTTCAGTCATCCAAAAAAGCTTCTTCCATATGGAGGCACCGGGTGCGCTGGGCGCGGCGTCCTCTGCCTTGTCCTCCTGCCGGCGCCGCCGCCGCAGCGGCCCCCGCTTCCTGCCGCCGGGTCCCTGAGCCCGGCCCGCGGTGTCAGCCGCCGCGCGCGCACACGCACACGCACACCCTGGCACACAGGCACGCACACACACACACACACACACTCACGCGCGCCGCAGCCGCACGCGCCCGCACGAGTCCTCCCTCCCCGGCCGGCACCTTCTGGGTCCCGGTCTCCTTTGTTGCTCCCCCTGCGGCCGCCTCCCGTTCTGTGCGTTCCCGGGTGTCACCGTGCGGGTCGGGTGTCGGTGCGGCGTGGTGCCGTGTGGCTCTCTCCGCGCCCACCACGCTGGCCCCCGGGCCCCGGCTCTCCCTTCCCAGGAGCCGGCTGCACCAGAGGTGAGTCACGTCGCTGAAGTTGTTTTCTTTTCATAAAAAGTTGTGTTTATTTGTTGGTTTGGGGAGGAGAGGGGGCGGGAGGCGACCGCAGGCCGGCGACGCCAAGGAAACGCCAGCGGGTGGCTGATGGGGACGCGCCGGCGGTGGGAGCTAGTCGGAGCGCTCGGCCCAGGGCTGGCGGGGGCTGCGGCCGAGGAGGGGCGCGCTGGCGCGGGGACAGAGGAATTGGGACAAGGCGGGCCGCGGGGTGCCTGGGGCACCGCATCTTATTCCCTGCGGTGCGGTCTGGCCGGTGGCTCCCGGAAGCTCCAAGGGTGGAAAAAACGCAGGCACAGCCGCCCAAACTTTCCCCAAAGGTTGACATCAGTGCCATGGCCCCGTGCGCCAGGCCACGGGGAGAAGACCTCCGCGCGATCGGCCAATACACAGAGCCACTCAACACTCTTGGTCTCTTTCGAGAGTGAGGGTTGATGGTATTGGTGTTTAAAACGGAAAACACTAACAAGAGGGACCAAACGGACCGGACCGGGAGAGAAACAGCCCCAGAAGAACATCCTTAGCTGGAGGGGTGGAAAGGACGAGGCTGAAGTGAGGTGTCCAGAGGTGTCCTTGGGGCTGGGGCAGCGGTGAAAGGGGGTTTGTGTACGTGTGTGTTCGCGCGCAGCGTGCTCCTTGGGTTGTGCTCTTGGAGTTTTTGTTTGTATAACTGTGAGAAGGTGGGGCCATGAACCTCTGAACAAGTGGGAATGGGCAAGGAACCCAGGGAGAATTTTCTGTTGGGTTTTAGAAGGTCCTCCCAAACTCTTGGGGTGCCCAAGGTTAGTTTGCTCTTCCAGGTGATGGGAGAGTTATGAGGGGTGGCCGGCTGGCAGACCTGGATGAGCTTAAGGAGCCTTGGGGATTTGTTTTATTTAGTTTTGTTTTGGGGATGGGGATGGCACTGGCAGGGTTACTTGAATGGTGGTTGCATCCCTCCAGAGATGTGGCAGTAGAGCTAAGAATACCCAAACCGCACACCAGCAGTCCTAAACAGGCGCTTTCTGGGTGTGGTGGGGGTGTTCTGCCCCTCCCCCATCCCTTCTCAGCTAGTTCAAATGGGTTCACATAAGTTTTTGACCCAGAGTTACCTCTTTGGGTGGACTAAGTGAAAAGTATATTTTTGGTGTCAGGCCCTGGTGCCACCTCCAGATGCCCTGTACCCAGCTCATATTTGTTACCCTGTTCTTTGTTGCCCAGAACTTTGCAGACATCGGCCATCGAGCGAATGGCATTTTCAAAATTCTTGAATGTGTGTACATTTTTGACTTACTCCACCACTGGGCCCTGAACAGGCAGTCCAGCTCTGTGATGGGCTTTTTTTTTTTTATTCCTCTGGTTACAGCTAATAAATCAATCCCTATTTTCTCAAGGGCAGCATGGACAATACTAAAACAGGGTCCTGTTGGACTGAAGTGGGGGCTGGGGGAGGGGAGCTCAGTACATCTGGGTGACCTGTTTTCTGAACTTTACTTAAAGTGACTCTGAGGCAAGAGCTTGGCCATTTTGAGGTGTGTAACAGGTTACCCAGGAACGCTTCTGAGGTCTTATAATTGGCACTTTTTAATGGTCTCATAATTGAAACCCAGAGGGTTCCCATGGTAATCTTGAAGCACCCTGGGGTCAGTGGGACAGAGGCAGGGTAGGAACAGCCGTGGAGCTATGACTTCCCTGCCAGATGAGTTTTTGGAATGAGTTTATGGAAAGAGGTAAAACTGAAAGGAGTTCCTTTAAGAGTTGTCTCACTGTGCCCCTTTGCTGATCTGGCTCTTCCCGTTTACTACTGAGTTTGGCCCTTCAGGTGGCTGGCTAGAGGCGGTGCACACCTACGACATCTAAAGATTCAGGTGGCAGACACTGTCCCTTTTATCCTCTTTTAAGAGATCTCAGAAGAGTAACATTGTAAGAGACGTTTTCTCAGGAGAATTTGCCCAAACCACTGGAGTTGACTTTACTTGGGAGAGGAGGCTGATGGAGGCCAGGGTGGTTGGCTCCTTGACCACATCTGGGAAGGGGATCCTGCTTAGCTGTTGACTAGTTGGCCAACTTGTGATAAGGGGATGATTTATGTTCCTTTCTGCCCTACAAATGGGTCCAGAGATTTTCTGTACTTTGAAGTGCTCTTTCAAGTGTTTGGGCTCCCAGCTCTCTTTAGCAACGTATCTGTGGTTTCCAAGCCCTAAGAAGAAGTAGCTTTTGCTCATGAAGTAATTAAGTTGACTTCCCCAGGGAACCCTAGAGTTTAAGCAAGGAGGGTGAGGAGTGAGTCTGGTGGTCACAGTATTTCAAAGGCCCCTGGGGGATCTGGGTTCAGATTTCAGCAAAGATACTGATATGATTAATGATTAAGGATTTTTCTCTCTGCATCTTTCAAACAAGTGAGAAGAAACCAAAGAAGACCCAAGTGCAACAGGTAATTACTAGCCAGTACTTCCTGGCCTCTGAAAGTATTAGCCTGGCACTAAAATATCTTATGCAATAGGAGCTCGCTGTCTTTTCTCCAAACTTCCTTGTTGTCTAGAAAAATAAGAGAGAGGGGAAGCAAATGGAAGTTGGAGGAGGAGAGGAAAAAGTGATTTGTTAGGTTTTTAAAAATCTGTTTACTTTAATATGTGGAGCTTCTTGTTGTCTCCATACCTCAATCCAGCAGGCACTTGTAGCACATTAGCCCCAGGGCTGGGAGCGTCTTGTGCCAGGAGAATAACTGTTCTTAGACCAAGGGTGGTTCTCTGAGCTACCTCCCCCTCCCAGTTTTAATTTATTGAACAAGTATCTACAACTAATAAAGAAACTGTTTTTGAAAATTACCCACAATCCCCTACTATAACACAACTTGTTTTTCTTCATCCATGTACATAATACTTTTCACATGGTTGTGACAAAAGTATAGACAGCCCTGCAGCGTCTCTGTGTTTTTGACCAAAGACACACAGAAAACAGGTATGTCCACCCCATTGCTATGGTGGAAATGACCCAAATCCTAAGAGTGCTCCCACACAAAGCCTTTACCCGTAATATTTTCATCATTTATGAGGCTGCATCAAATATTTGGGGCCTGGGACTGGGATGAAGAGGGTGTTTTTCATCTAGAAATCCATGTTAACTGAAAGCTCTCCTAAATGGGGCTTTTGCTTTTGTGGAGCCCTCGGGGTTGGTAATGGGCAGAGAGAGGGGGGAGGAATGCAGGAAGTAAGGCCTAAAGGATCCATCTGGAGTGGCACTGCCCTGAGGATTGGGAAACGCAGGTCGGGGCCCTGGCTCTGCATGTGAATTCCGCTCACACTGGTTCAAACCACTGAGCTAATGGGCTCCTACATCTCCACCGCCACTGAGTTAGACTCCCTCCCCAAGCTTATCCAGTCTTTCCTGCCCTTCCTTTTATCATTCCACCATCTGCATCACCTTTCTAGTCTTGCTCCCTCCACACTTGTTCATGCTCTTGACAGTTGTTGCTGACCCTCGGCTGGACTGCCCACTGTCTACATATCACAATGCACCTGTACTCCATCAGTCCCACAAACAAGTCACCACCCAGCTTAAAAACAGTCTTAGGCTTACAATACAATTTTTTAAAAAATATTTTGTATATTTATTTTTAGAGAGAGGGGAAGGGAGGAAGAAAGAGAGGGAGAGAAGCATCACTGCGCAGTTGCCTCTCATGCCCCCTACTGGGGACCTGGCCTGCAACCCAGGCATGTGCCCTGACTGGAAATTAAACCACGGACTCTTTGGTTCACAGTCTGGCACTCAGTCCATGGCGTCACACCAGCCAGGGCACAATCTAAATTTCTCAGCCTTGTCATATGTGGCTACATCCCACTTCATGATAATATTACTGCCCTGGGGAGCCTTCTGCTTCAGCTTGACCCATCTAGTAGCTGACCCTTGACTTTTGCTGGGTTTATTTCTTGCTTACTGCCTCACCACCCACAAACCACTCCTGTAAGCCCACCTTACTTTGTATGAAGTCACCTGAAAATGTGTTCTTAAGAGATAGTTGGTAGATGTTGATGGAAATGGGCTGCTAGATGCATGCTTAGGGACCGAACTGGCAACCGAGGCATGTGCTCTGACCAGGAATTGAACCCATGACCCTTTGGTATATAGGACAATGCTCCCACCAACTGAGCCACACTGGCCAGAGCATCCTTCATCCATTTTTCACTTCATCTCTAGCAAGGAGCTAGGTACCTGGAGACTTAAGGAAGCCTCTGATCTTAGAAAAACTGCTTTTTCTTTGTTTTCTTATTTATAAATTGGGTTAATAAGGAATTACTGTGGTTTGTAGCAATGCACCTTATAAAAAGCAAATACTTCAGGAGTGTTTGTTTATTTGGCTGTTCAAAAGATGAGACACTTCTCTTTTTCCTCAGTCCCAGCACAAGCTTCCAGGAACCCATGACCCACGATGTCTTGTCAACACTGCCACCATCGGAGAGAGCAGCAATGAAGTAGCGGAAGAAGCAGGTGAGGTTTCTGCCCACGGGATGGAATCTCTGGCCTGCTGGGTCTGTCGGTTTTCATGTTTTGTGTTGCCACTTGAAGAGAGAATGTTTCTCATCATCTGGCATGGGAAGGGTCCAGCTAGAGTGGAATGTGGACTACACATGTCGGTTCCAGTTTGGCTCACATACATTTTAGTCAGAGCCTGTGGTGGCCTCTTCTCCCCGGGGTAGCCACTCAAACCCCTCTTCCCCGGAGGCAAACTGTTGGACATACTGGGTACAAACCATTTCCTACAGGATTTGCAGGCTAGGACTGCTGTGGAAAAGTCGAACTCAGGTTTGGGCAAGGAAAGCCCTGTGTTTATGTCTCTGTCAGTGGTATTACAGTGAATGCCTTGTGATCCGATGTCCCGGGCAGTGTTTATCTCTCAAAACCCAGAGGGATTCTGTGTCGTTCCATCTTCTGAAGTAAAGTTAGGGAATAATTTCTCTTTTCCTAATGGTGAATTTGGCCTTATCTTCAAAGAAGGCCTTTGATGTTTGGGACAGGATTATTGGACAGTGAGAGGAAATCATAGGAAAAAGATCAGAGCCAGTAATACACAGTCAACTTAACTTGGTTGCCAGAGAAAATGTTGAGGAAAGTCTCAACTAGTTCTGGTTAGTAGCAGGAAAATACATAATATGGCCAGGGTAAGTAGGATTGAATAAAAAATAATGGAAAAAGAGCTCAGCAGTGGAAGTATGGCTAAGGAATGTTTATTCTTCTCTAACATGAGTTTGTACAGCATTGGACAAGATGAGGATGATGTCATGTATATAGACTGCAGCCTTCATCCTTTCCACAAGCTTTTATTGAGTACTTACTGTATACCAGAGCCCATTCCTGTATATCAGGATCCCATTCCTTCAGGGAAGGGACTTTAAAACTCCATTGTTAAAGTACCTGGACTGGGTCAATTGAGAAAGGCTTGTTGATGGAGAGTCAACATCTCAGGCCAAGTGTCACAGGCAGAGATGGGACTGGCAGCACTGCAGTGTTTTCTTACCTTTGCCCATCATTATTTTTCCCTGAAAATGTACCTTTCCTCAGCAGCTGTTAGGCTGAAGTATTCTTGAGACAAGAGATAAGTTCAGAGTACTTCTCCCCGCCCCCAATTTCAGGAAAGTTAAAAACTAGAATCTCTGCATTGAGTACAGAATCTCAGAAATGTGACTACTAGACAGGTTTCTAAAACCAGTTACTGAATACTCTCACAGCAAAAAGGAAGAAATGTGTCTTTTATTCTCTCATGTATGTCAGGTTTTATAGTTGAGAACTCTAGAAACACATGCCTGGATTCAGCTTTTTACCTTTCCGTTCCATTTGCGCTTTGCTGTACTGTCTGGAATAGGTTGGCTTGGCTCTGAAATCATTCCCAGAGTAGCAAGTGAGGGGACATTTATCTTAGGGACAAATAACAGTCACAGAGCTCTGCTGTCACCCAGGAGCCTCCGTGGCTGCTGAGAGATAACTGTCACACAGGATGGGAGTTACAGGTGAGAGGAGGAGGGCATGCGGAACCGCTGGCCTCGGAGAGCTCCCCCAGGCTGGGCTGGGATTGGATTCTTAAGGAGAGCCCTCCCCAACCTTCCCTGGCTCAGCCAATGTTTTTCCAGATTAGTCCCAGTCAAGTGCCTTTACTAGTCTGAATTTACCTAACATTATAATCCCAGCAGGTTTATTAGGCATGGGTCACAGTTAATTGGAGAGGAAAATAGGGGGGTTCTGGCTTTATTACTTTTCTGTGAAAGCAGATTATTTTACAAATCATCCCCCCGACACTGGACTCTCCTCCTGCTTTCTGTGTAACACCGATCATCCCACACTGGATTACTGCAGCCCTTCCTTTTCATGTCCCTGGGCCCACGTGCAATCCAGAATGTAGCCAGTCAGCACAGTGCCCTCTTTTGCAAGTGAGCCCACATGAAGTGATGGAAATTCATGGCTGTTTACCTCTGTCATTATGAATGGATGTTTTGTAGTGAACAAGTTCTATAAAAATCTGCTATGTTACAGCCACGCGTTCGATTTTAATGGCTCTTCCAACGTGCAGGCCTTGGAACCACTCACCTGCAAACCTCCTTTGACACCGTTGGTGGTCTGCCATCGTGCCGGCTGCGTCAGCGCCAGGTGAAAGCCCCACAGTCAGGTGCTTGGGTTCTATAGCCCTCTGTTGCAGGCACGGAGGCTGGGTAGTTAGGCCTGGCTTTCTCCTGTCTGGACTGTGGCAGCTTGCCAGCAAGTTTCACTGGGTGGTCTTTGACAATGGGAGAGAGGAGGGGTGGGGGAGCTCAGCTCTCCTGCCCGATGGGAACAGCAAGGTTGGCAACCAGTTCCCCATCACCAAAACACCACAGAGGTCTTGAGTTTGGGCGAAAAGAATGGAACTGGTTGCTGAAGGCAGTATTGTGATCGGGTTAATTTTTGTTCCTCCTAATTTACAAATGAAGCCTGTATGTGGCGAACCTCTCTCCCAAGAGGTGAGCACATGAGAACAGCAGGTCCCCTTCATCGTGGGAAGGAAGAGTTGTCACCCTGCCACTCGGAGTTATCCGTGGACCGGGAGGGCAGGCTGAGATTGGGGAATCTCCGTACCAACGAGGCAGCACTGCCTGCCTCTGCATCTTCCAGTGAGGTGGAGATAGCCGCTATTCAGCGAGCACCTACTGTGTGCCCAGTCCTGTGCTTAGTGCTGCAAGCATTACCTCTGCAGGCCCCAGGCAGTCCCATGAAGATGGGCATTATGACCCTATTCTGCAGATGAGGGAGCTGAAGCTTAAATAATTGTGGTGACTTGTTCTGGTCACACAGCTGGGGAGGGGCTGAGCCGAGATTTTCACACAGGGCTGCTGACTCCAAAACTCAGGCTCTGAAGGAAACAGAAAGGCCCAGACCATCTCTCCCCCGAAGCAGAGTTCCCTTAGTTTGGGGGAGCTATTTCTTTTGCAGCAAAATGCAAGGGGCAGGTGGGGCCCTTTACACAGCTGGAAGGCTCTGACGAGCTCAGCGGCGGCAGCATGAGGAGGCCAGGCTTTGTGCCCAGCTCGTGCCAGTCTTCGCAGGCAAAACTAAAAGCCGCCTCCACCTTGCGTCTCATCTCAGAATGTGTTTCCTGACTTTTTGTTTTTACCCCCGGGACGTCGTCTGAACTGGCTGTCTGAATCTTGCTTCACCGTAGATGCCAACTGAACCCATTGCTCCCTAGGTGTCTGCAAGTCTGATCAAGCAGGTCCTCCTTGCCCCAGGTGGCGTGAGCGGGAGAAGGTGTTTGGCTGAGCAGTTAACTTACTGGTCAGGAGACGGGCAGCTTGTACAGAAAAGCGCCCCGAGGAAGGAGGTAGCAGTTTTGACAGACAGGTAACTGACAGGAGAGGGAAGCCTCCAGACGCACATGCACAGGGCAGGCAGCAGGGAGAATTCTGCAGGCAGTTTCCTGCAGCAGAGCGGAACGGACCTCTCCCTCCTGGCTGAGGAGCATGGTGGAGATTTGGCTTTGGAGGACACGTTTACCCTCAGTTCCTTGTTTTTCTTTAACGAACGTGGAAAGCCTAAAGTCAGGACATTCTGGGTTAAGGCAGGAACACAGGACATCAGGGTTTAAGATATAATCATGTGACCAACAGGTGGGCAACTGGTTGGAAGTCATGGAAACTGTGCCTTTGTTTTCCCGTCTGCACAAGCTGCCTCCCCAGAGCACCATCAGGAGGCAGTGAGATGGCACAGGGAACACTTCTGATTCACAGAGTTCCCGAGCACCCCAAACACCCAAGGCCTCCGGCGTCCGTGCCCACCCAAGGTGAATAAGGAGATAGGACATTCCAGGGAATGGGTGCGGGTCAGGGTTCAAGGGCCGCACCCACTTCTGTGGTGTGTTTCTCTGTTCTGAGGGGGAGCCTGGGCTGGGGGCAGTTCAGTCCTATTGCCAGAGGCCCTTCCAGGTCGCTCCAGCTAACTTGCCTTTCCCTCTCTGGCGGGAAGAGGCAGTGAAAGGTCTCAGGGTCCTGTAAGTTGGGAGAGGAAAAGATCTTCTGGTGGGAGGATCCCGGTTAACATTCTTTCTGAGAGAAGAAGAAACAATGGAGTTTGGGGACTGTCTGGGGGATCCCACCCGAGAGGACTGAGGTCTGAAGACAGTCTTGGTAGGAAAAGCTGGAGAAAGATGGTTCTAGGAGGGAGCAGTATTTCTGGGGCCACTTTCAGGTTGGAGATTGTGTAGCATTCTGGGTAAGGGGAACTTCAGAACCAGACAGGTGTGCATGTGAACCCTGGCCTTGCCAATCACTAGCTGTATGTTATGGGCTAATTACCTAAACTAAACCGAGACCCCAGTTTCTTAAGGTTGTTGCAAGGAGGAAGCAAGATGCTGCTTGTAAAGAGAATGAAAGGTGTTATGAGCATTCAGTCAAGTGTGGCTGTTATTAGTGAAAGAAAGAAAAGAGGGACGGACGAAAGGAGGGTTACTGATAGATTGGGAGCCAGAGGGATGAGTAGTGGGGAGGCTGCACTGATGGAACCCTCACTGGTCCAAGGTCTACAGAGGTAAAGGGATGAGAAGGTGGGGAGAGGGAGGAGACCCCATAGGACCAGGCCCAGCCCTGGATGCACCATCAGGCAGCGGTCCTCAGACCCGGTCACTGGGAAGACTTTCCATGCAGCCTTTTCCTCTGCTGCTGCCCTGATCAACATCTTCTGTTTTACTGGTTAGGCTACTAACCCGCGAGTCATCTTTGGCTCTGTACTTTCGCTCATATTCTCTCTAATAAATTGGTAAGTGACATTGGTTATACCTTTAAAACGTATCCAGAATCCTGCAACTTCTCACCACCCAAGTCTTCCGGTGACATTTCCTACCTGGACAATAGTAGGAAATGTCACTGGACATATGGCAGGAGCTTCCTAAGTGTTCTCCCTGCTTCCAAATCCCCCGACCTCCCTGCCTCATGGTCTGTTTATGGAGAAATCAGTGTCAGCTTCCAGAA